ACCCGAGTCCAGCACTTCAGGCTTGGTCTTTTGGGAGCACCAGGCCAATATTTGGGTATGGGACAGTAGGACTCCAAGAGGTGCCAGAGAAAGCTAAAAAGCAGCCAGAGCTCAGGTCCTGAGCAGGGGTACCTCCTAACCATGCTTTCCTCATGGGAGCATCAGGCAACCAAATAGTCTCTTCCACTCCACACTTCACAAGCAGCGAGTTCAATAGTTTGCAGATAACACACCCTCTCCATCCATCCTTCAAGTGACCGACCACTGCAAGCAGCAAATGAAGGTGTCTGCAAGCACCTATCATCTCCAGCTGAATCTATGCTCTGCAACGGTGTTGGTGACCTCAGGTTGCTCCCAAGGTTTATAATTTTGAAATAACATTGTGCATACCTGCCCTCTTTCACTATGAAAAAGATCTGTTAAGGTTTCCTGTAGCAAGGGAGGGTAAAGGGGAAGCAAGCAGCTAACCTGAATGTTGCCTTACCATTTGGTTAGCATTAAGGTCTGGGTGGGTCAGCTGTTGCCCCAAGATGCCATTCTTGCCTCATGTACTCTCAATTTTACACCTTATATGCTATCAGTCCAACCATATACAGCTGAACATCTCCTGACAATGGGCTGCTCAAGTGCCATAGAATACCTCGGAGTGATTTGTTCATCCTTGGGGGTTGTCCACGAGAGACATTCAGTGAGGTTAATCTGGATCAGCTTTTGAAGACACCACTTAAACAGTGGGAGGCTCCCAAGCAGCCTTAACCTAATTAAGCATCCTTCCCTTAGGACGGAAGGCCAGCTTAGCTTGCATTAAAGCCCATCAAGTGTCCTGTTAATCGGGTACACTCTAATATCACAGCTGTGGTCATCCCAGTGGAGACCACCAAAAGGCTGGAGACGCCTCATCATTTTTCACCTCCTTTTTGTCACTTCGGCTATTTCTGCCGTTACTTCAGGCAGTGAGATGAAAGGCCCAGCAGCTCTGCCCTTATCCACTTTGTTCAACAGACTCCCCTTCAGTTTTTCTTTTCACATTAACTGTGTCACACACCAGACTCTCATTGACTAACTGCCCAAGGGGGACCCTCGCTGAGTGTTAATTGCTGCTAATGAGCTGTTGCTGCTTTCTTTCTAAGAGCACCAATTACAACAGCACTCAGGCACTGCAAGAAGATGCGTGTCTGCAGCAAATCAAGGCAAATTTTACTCCAGACCCTGGCATTGTACTGCCAGCAACTCCTGGAAAATGCTTTAAATCAGGATGAGACTGGGTGAAGGATGACAGCAGGCAGCTCTCCTGCCATTGCCTGTCCCCTTGTTCTTCCTATGGTGGGTCAGAGTGAATGAGAAGTCCCTGACTTGCTTCCTATGGCTCCTGTTGTGGTGCCTTGCAGGGATGTCTACACTCAGCTGTTCACCTGAGCTCTCGCTCAAGTATCCCTCCAGCCACAAGCACACAGTCCCACCAGTGGGTTTTACATGTGGGTGGTGGCCCAGCTGGCTCAGAGCACAGTAGGACTTGTGTTGCCCCATGTGCTACAAGAGGAGGTGCAGGAAGGACTCAGCAAGATGGCTTGATGGCCTGGCATTGTGCACAGCAACACTGCCATCATTTCAACATCATCCCCTACCTCAGAGCTGGAGGCAGCTCCTACCTCAGCTACAGCTGGGTCCATCCCCACCAGAGCTTTATAATCCTTCTCTCCAAACCTCATTTCCCTCCCCTACTAAGCATGGGTGAGGGTATATGCTAGCACCAAGTGTGGCCCTGGAAGTATACTGAGATGTCCACCAGCTAAGAAGCACTAGAGTTACTGCTATTCCTAAAGCTTCTCCCTCTGATTTGCCTTTCTCAAAGCTGCAGCCCAAGGAAAGGAGATTTTATATGAGGGATGTGCTAAGATGGTAAAAGCTTTTGCATGAGTGCTTAAGGTCATGCAAGTCAATACAAGGTATCGAGATCCTTCACCAAAATAGACTGAATCTGTCTACAATGCTAGTAAGAAATTGCCCAGTGTTTCACTCCAACTTTCTCATTTGGATTATTTTTGGCCACATTAAGAAACATTCACATCCAAATCACTCTTTGTGAGAGCCTTGAAATGAAATACAGCAGAGCTGATTCACTGCATGAAAAAAGATCCCAAGATTTTTGTCTTGTCACCTTGATCAGAAAGGAGATTTAGAGAGCACCACCTGCAGCAGGGTTTCCCTCTCTCCCAGCTCTCCCAAAGCCACAGCTCCCTGCTGGGCTCTGGCACATGGTTCTCCAGCAGGTGTGAAAAAGCGCAAGCATCTTGGCGGAGCAGCAGCCAGCTCGCTTGCTTGCTCTCCTCCAGTTACAGACCAAGAGCTGTTGTTCACACCGAAGCACCTGGCTCCTATTGTGCCGCCTTTCCACAGTTTGTTAAATTTTATTTCGCATCATTTCTCCCATTTTGGCTTCCACCCTAAAAATCCTTCTGTAAGTTCCCCAGCTGCCCCACTCCTCATAAATGTTCATTTAAGTATAATACCTTATGAGCAAACCCAGAGGTCCTCGCTCAGCAGGAGCTCTGCCTGAACAAAAGCCCTTGGGCTAAGGTCGCCTGCTTGTGTATCTTGGGATTCATCCACCAACTTTGGGGGAAAAACACCAACCTGACCATGCCCTTGGGTGAGCTCAGACTTACCTTGTTTTTTCCCAAAACTGTGCTACCTATTTCCCAGTGGTTTTCCCACAAACATATATATTCTTCCCCAGGAGCCAGGGTATCCTCAGCAGGGATGAGCCCAGGGAGGGTGGGTGTCCACCAGCATCTCTGAAGAAGCTGGGGAAAGGCAGCTCAGAAGAGCTTGGCAGCAGCAGGATTCAAGTCATGCCCCCACAATTCCCAAATGCTGGGCACAACGGATTTTGTTTTTCAGAGCTTAGCCTACAAACAATCAATCTTGTTTTCTGCGCAGGCCAATGAGGTCTGCAGAAAGAAAATTGCGAAAGATTTGTTATTTCCCTAGTGTTCCCATTTTCCCATTCCTTTCCCACAGAAGCAAGGTTTTTGTTTTGCTTTGTTTTGTTTTTTTTCTTTCCCAACTTTCAGGGGAAAATCCTGACAGATGGAAGCCTTGATTCATACCAGCAAAAATTTGGCCTTTTTTAATTTAAGGTGGAGCCTTTCTTGTCTGAGGATGAAAACATTTCTCTAACTGCACACAGAGGGCAAGGACCGAGCCTTTGCCCTGCTGCAGCGAAGGCCGAGTGGCATTGGATGCTCATGCCCACCATGAATGGAGAGTCATCGTGCAGGCAGGAGAGCTGTTGTGCAGGCAGGAGAGCTGCTCATCTCCCCCACGCTCAGGAAAACACTGCCCGTGCTCGCTCACAGGGATGGGAAACAAGGGGACAGGCAGGCACAGGGTGGCAATGGTGGCTGTCACCAAAGAGACTTCCAAGAGTGGGAAAACATCTTCTGAGGGGGTGCTCAGGCAGAGGCAGGGTGTGCTGCTCCGCAGCTGGAGGGATACATTGGAAGAAAGGCTCCCCATCCTCCTCCCATGTTTTCTCAGATGACTGAAGGACTTGTGAGAAAGACTCAGGAAGGGAGGAAGGGAAGCGCTACTCCTCTCCCATCGCCACCACCCAAGCAGAGATGCCTGCTTCCCTCCTCCCTCCGTGTCCCACCTGGGAAGCAGCAGAGAGAAGAAGCAGGCTTGGGAAAAAAGGATTTATGGCCACAGCCTACCTGCTCCCATAGCCCAGGGAAAAAAGTAAAGGAGAAAGAAGAAGATCAAAGGAGCAACATGTCCCTAAAACCATCCCTTGCAGTTTTTCTCCCCAGACGCTGCCATCTGCACTGCACCACTCCCACTTTGGTGGTCACCTCTGCCCGCCGCCGGGAGCTGGCAGCAGGGAATGAGCAATTTTCTCTGACACCGAGACAGAAACAGCTTAAAAAAAAAAAAAAAAAAAAGCCATGACTTTTTTTTCCCTTCCCTGCCTCCAGCAGAAAGCACCATTTGGCAGAGTCTCGACCGCTGGAAGCCATCAGCAGGGCTGCCGGGACTTCAGAGGCT